AAGAGGGCTCGCCGCCGCCGCCGCCGCCGCGCGCCCGTCGTCGCAGCCCTTCCTGTTGGGATTATCTCCTGCTCTCCGCTCCTTCGCACTCCGCGATCGAAGCCGCCGCTGGGCTTCAGCTGCTCGGACTCCTTCCCACCCGGTGCCTCCGCTCGCCGGGGCCTCGAGGAGACAGGACCCCCCTTGGGCAGCGAGACCATGAGGAAATTCAACATCAGGAAGGTGCTGGACGGCCTGACCGCAGGCTCGTCCTCGGCCTCGCAACAGCAGCAACAGCAGCAGCACCCGCCGGGGAACCGGGAACCCGAGATCCAGGAGACGCTCCAGTCCGAACACTTCCAACTGTGCAAGGTGAAGGGAGCGCGCAGCCCCCGCCGAGCTGTCTTGGGAAGATTGGGGTCGTTTGAGGGGGCCGCTGGGCAGTACCTGGGAGCGCGAGGGCAGAGCGCGCCAATAGAGCTCAGAGCTCCAGGAAGGCGCCCCCCACCCTTGACAGACGTGCCTTGCCGGGGGATTTTGGACAGATCCCCTACTTCTTTTAGTCGATGTCTTTCCCTTTTCATAAAAAGCAATCATTTCAAGGCAATCCAGGCATACTCCCTCCTTGTTTTTAATTCCCATCCAGACACTGGTAACAATGGTGTGGGAATACTTTTATATTCGCGCATATTTTATTATCTTCCACTGACGTCGAAATTTTCCAGCAGTGTGTGATGAACGCCTTGTGGGCAAGGCAAACCTGTTCAACCAGATCTTTTTGCGCATCACTTTTTAGAATGCGGGCGAGCGGCTCACCACCTGAAGTAGCTTGTTCGTTTAAAAAGTTAGTGCGGAGATTTTTTTGGCTGTGAATGGCACGGTGATTGCCACAAGGTCCTGTAATTCAGAAAGAATGATGCAGCGGATTAATTCCCAGATGCTCAATGAGAAAAGCACAGGAGCCTCCGTATCCAGACGTGCCTGCCTCATAGATAGCCATTCGGTCCTTCCTGTGTCGGGGGCTTACAAGCCTGCGTACAATTTTTGTTCTTATGTCCTAAAATTATTCCAGACTTAATAGGAAATTGCAAGATTATTTTTGCATCCATTTCCATTCTTAGAGTTGCAGATATTGATAATTTGAGGTTGATGCTTCGTTGGCTAAACCCTTCAAATTAGTTTCGTGACAACTTTTCCTTAGAAATCCCTCCTTTAGCATTCAAATAAAGCTACGATTTGGGCGATTTCCCTTCAAACGCAACACGAATCACTTTTTTTTTTTTTTGCAAGGATTTTACAGAATTTTGAACCACCTCAGACTTAAGTAACGTGTCGCGTCAAACAGAATCGTATCCGCTATTCCTAGGAAACTGCCCTCTATGGAGTTACCAGCATTGTAGCAAAGCAGGAGTTTAAGTAGATTTGTGCTCCTGGCTCTGTGATCCTTAGGATAGACTCCACCCTCCCACCCCCAGCTCCCCCTTAAAGTGATAAGTCCCTGTGTGTGCGCTGTGTCAAGTGTAGTTGGTTCCAAGTCTAATGCCCCTGTGGGCTGTTCTGTTTTCGGATTTTGCCTGCTGCCTTGGTTCCTGTGATGTCACTGTGCATCCCCAGACTGTTCGCCATGGATTCCCCTATCAGCCCTCAGCCCTGGCCTTTGATCCCGTACAGAAGATCCTGGCAGTAGGAACTCAGACTGGTGCTTTAAGACTGTATCCTTTCTTGAATTTTTTAAAAAAAAAAAGAAAGAAAGAAAGAAAGAAAGAAAAAAGGAAAAGAAATGTTTTTGTTTGCTTGCTTTATCATCCCCATCCCTTCTCTATTGCTCATTAATCCTGTATTTCCTCTTCAGGTCTGTATTATAAGAAATCATGTGGTGCTGGCTTTCCCTTATTATAGCCGTGTTTAGGTGGTATGCTGTAAGAAGGATGGCTCTGGGCTCTCAGCAGTTCCTAAACATGAATCAAAACATCAGTCTAAAGTTTGTTGTAGTATCTGCTTTTTTTTTTGGATGACTCCAAGATCCTGAGGGGAATACAAGTGCGTGTATTAGGGGATTAATGCCCAGTGCCGACAGGTAAAGTTCAAGACCAAAGTAGCCCGAGTCCAGTGCACCGGCAGCTGCTTGTGACGTGCTGTTTATAGTGGGTGTTGAACTTAACTGTCTAGCGGTCGCATGAATTAGAAGCGGGATTTGAATTTGATTTGTTTTTTCCACATGTCCACCCAGATAAAAGCATGAAGCTGTGACACCTTATCAAACTAGTCTTCGCGATACATAAGAAGGGCTGGTATTTCTAGATTTCAGGGCCTTGTTTTGGAAAATACACAGACATAAATGTGCTGTGGTGACAGACTTTTCCTTTTGTTGTGTGCGGCAAAAGCTACGAAGTACATTAGCATGTAGAGAAATCATTTTTTTTTTTCCTGATCGTATGTGAATTCTAGAGCTTCGGCATAGGCATCTTTCAGATTCTTCACAAGAATTTTTTCAAGAACATCTTTTTGGTCTGAACAACGAAGACTTTCCCACTTCCTCTTTTATGCTGTTTAACTTCAAATAAAATGTGCGATTGCTTTCACTCTGACATTTAAACATACCTGGCCAGCCCATTATTGAGATGCTATGCCGGTAATAAACCGGCCAGCCACCGGTGATCTCACTGGACGTTATTATTGACAAGAGAAAAGGGGGGGGTGGGGGTGGGAGGGGCTGGGCTTATTCTATTTACAGGTCAGGTTTTTCAGCATTTGATTTAAACATGAGCCAGGAATTTCACTTCCGATCTTTTCAGACATTTCAGAGGTGTCCTTTCTGGCATCAGAATACGCCTCACGTTGAACTCTGAGGATGCTGCTGTCTTGGGAGCATGACGGCCTTTCAGAGTAGTGCATGGCTTAGGCCTGCCTCTAATGGTAAAGCCTCAAGTTGGTGGTTTCTGCAGCGTGCACAGGCTGCTTTTGGCCAGATGGCTAAACTGTTGAGACTAGAATATCCTTTGACTTCAATTGCTTAGTTGTTTTTATTTTTACAAAGGCATCTTATTTTAGTCTTGCAATGATAGGAATAGTTAATTTTCTCTATGTTCAGGGAAATTCAGTTTCAGGACCACAGAGCATTGTTCTAGAAGGACTGTTTGGAACTGAAATATTTTTCCCTCCAACAAAAGAATTCTGTTATGTGACTGAAGGGGAGGGGGCAGGAAATTAATGTAATCAGTTACTTTTAGATTATTTTTATTTCCTTTTGAAGAATTTTTTTTTCTTCCTGTTTTCTTTGGCCTCAACAGTTTTATTATATAACTTTTTAACAGCCTTTTGATATTTAATTATATGTGCCACCAGCAAGACCGACTTCGTAAAGCAGTTGCAGTTATTTGTCTTACAAATACCTTAAACTCCAATTTACATAATTAGCAAGTGGACCCAACAGAACAATTAACATGCCGGGCCTGTGGTAATCGTTAGTTCAAAGGATCAGGTGTCCAAAACGATCACTCCCATGAGCATTTGGGCTTTATATCTCCTTATAGTTAAATATTAGGGAGTGAAAGTGGTCCTGTGGTTACAGTGACCCTGTCCTTTTCTTCAGAACTCCTTGCTGTATTGAGAATGAAATCCTGAGAGCTCTTTACCTGGTCTCTTCTGCTTTTCCCTTCTAGGGCTTTGCTCCCACACTCTAAGTTGGCAAACTGGCTTGCCTGGCAGCGCTCCCCTGCCAACCCCCAACCCCCAGTCAGTCCTTCTGTGGGGGGAAAGTGCCGGATGAGCCTAGAGCTTTGCCTGCTGTGGTTCTGATGTATAGAAAGCGACAGAGACCTTTCTACAGGTTTAACACGTATATTAGATTTTTTGTTCTGTTAATTTTTTTTTTGAAACTGGACAGATATCTAAGTGTATGCATTCTAATTTTAGACCTCCGTATTGGTTTAACTCGCACGTTTGTTACAGGCCTGCCTATTATCCTGTTTGTTCTGGTTTCCTCTTCTGACTGGTTTCTTCCAGGCCTTCTGTGCACTGTCATTTTAGACTTTTTATTCTCTAGACTATATTTTCCCAAAAAGGTGTTTTAGGGAAGAAGAATACTTGTAAATCAAATATCCTTTGATTAATTATATAGCAAAAAACAAACAAACAAACAAGCATACTTTCTTAAGTGGGATTGGGCTTTGGGGATTCCAAATGCAAGCATAGCCTGTTTGTTAATGGGATACATAAATGGTGGCAGTGTAGCCTAAGTTGACTGGCTTACATGGACTTGAAAGCAAAACACATCCAAAAGGCTGATCGAGCAAGCTATATCTCATATCTAATGGTTACATCTAAGGGTAGTGAAAATTGAATCCTTAATGAATAGCTAACCAATATTGAGGCAAAATAGCTAATCTATTTATTGCATTAATGTTCAACACATGATGGATGATACCATTTTGTTTCGTCAACCTTCTTGGTCTCTGAAGAGGACTTGAGGTTGCCATGTGTTTACTGATAAGAAACAGGAAAACACAATCTTATGTAGCAGGTCATATAATAGTGATATAATTTGTCTTCCATTATTTGCCACAGGGAAATAAATAACATTTGATTTTTATGAGTAATCTAGATATCAAGTTTGGAAAGGGAGGCCATGCTAAAGAACGGAGGCATTTTAACCCATAGTGCTGTTGTCCTTTCTAGACTCTGGGTCACAAGTGTAATTGCTTCATCTTAAGTTATCATGGCCTTGATCATACTTTAACATCAAGTTTTATCTATGCACAGTGGGGGTATTAAAACTGAGGCATTTTATTGTTACGATTTAAAGGACTAAGGAAAAATAGAACTTCAGATTTATTCAATGTGCAGTCAGAGAGGAAACTCAGATAACCTCCTTTATTGTACTCTTGACTCGTGCACAGTCCAGGTACTGGGCAGCCTGTTTTGATGAGGTGAAGTCTTGCATACAGGGTTACAGAATGGTGTCTGTATTTGGAAGCCTATTTAATAAGACTTCACAAAGCCTTAAACAAATATTAGATTGTAGACTGTGTGGCCTGAGCTGCAGTTCTTGCCTGTTTTCTTTTTTCAACATTTTTTAATGATTTATTCTTATTTTTATGTGCATTGGTGTTTTGCCTGCATGTATGTCTGTGTGAGGGTGTCAGATCCCCTGGAACTGGAGTTGTGAGCTGCCATGTGGGTCCTGGGAATTGAACCTCGGTCCTCAGCCAGTGCTCTCAACAGCTGAGTCATCTCTCAACCCCATTCTTGCCTGTTTTTCAACAAGGAATTCGTCTTTCTCTTTAAAATTAAGGTGCTGTGTTGGATGATTCGTTCAGAGGCAGTTCTGTGATTTCAGATTCCTGTGTGTCTAGGCGAGTAATTCAAAAGAAATGAATATATGGCCTTCCTAAAGGCTTCTAGTTCTAATCAAAGGGCAGGAACTAGTCAAACCTTGCAGTTAGAAACCTGTATAGAGATTCCCTGTCTTTAGAGAGATTCTAGGTTAAATTCCTAGCCCTTGATCACCATTTCTGCACATTGGTAGATAAGGATGCACAGCGATAGTATGAAGATTCAGAAAAGTTGTGACGGGGAAAACTGTGGGCGTGACGGCGGTATAGGAGATGATAGCAGATTGAGGGAATGTTGGGGAAAACTTCTGATTGGAATAATGATCCTAATTGAGTCGAGAGTAGAAACAAGCTAATGAGAGGGCTGGGAAGATGGCTCCGTTAGTAAAGAGATTGCTCTGCCAGCATAGAAACCCATGTGTAAGCCAGGAACAGTGGTGTGTTCTTGGCGTTGTAGTGCTGGGGAGGTAACTGGGCAGCCTAGGAAAATGAGTGAAGTTCAGGTCCCAGTGAGAGTCACTGTCTCAAAAAACAAGGTGGACGGCTTTTGAGGCTGGCCTAGAGGCTGTGTGTGTGGACACACATGTGAACCTGCACACACCACATAATGTACACACACACACACACACACACACACACACACACACTAAGCCAATAGAATTTTAGCCTGGAGCTGCTTTTGCACCAGCAGTCATTGAAGGTATTTGACAGGAAGAAAGTATGGTTCATGTGCATTTGTTGGGTCAGGCAACAGTATCATGGATGAAAGAACAAGGGGAACTTCATGGGTTACCATAATCATGGAGTCAGTAACATGGACCCCAAACAGATGTGTCAGAATGGGCACTGGAAAGGGCTGTGGCTGCTTTCTATGAAATCTCGGGGAGTGAGTCAGGATGAAAGTGCCCAGGGAACTACAGAACAGAAAAGGATGAATGTTGATCTGGAAATTATGACACTTTCTACTTTACTGCAGTGCCATTCTCAGAAGGCAGTCTGGGCTGCTGCTTTTAGCATGAGAATTTGATTTAGTTTTATGTTTAAATGAAACTAAGATAGATATTGTGAATTTTATAATTGATGATGTAGAGTGATGAAAAGCTGTTTAGCGTTTGGGGTTTGTTTGGTGTTTCTCAGTAGTTGGTAGTGGATTGGACAATTTAATTCTGTTAGTTTGTTCAGGACACTGAGAAATTTTTTTTTTTTTTTTTTTTTTTTTTTTTTTTTTTTTTTAAAAAATTTTTTTTTTCAACATAATAGCCACAGATTCCCCTGTAATCCCACTCTCGCCCCCCTCCCCCTCCACCCATCCCACCCCCCATTCCCACCTCCTCCAGATCAAAGTCTCCCCCGAGGACCGGGATCGACCTGGTAGACTC